CAAAAGGTCGAATAACTCGAAAAATATTCGATTTACCCCAAAATCGACTTCATATTTGTGTTCAGCGTTAAAATTTACATTAATTTAATGGTTTAAAAAAATTAATTACAAAACATTTTCTGGGCCCACCCTTCTGTTTTTGTACCGCACTTTGAGAGGGATTTTGTATTGTTTTACGTAAGTTATTATAGAGTGAGAGACCGACCACATGAACACAAATAAGTCCATAACCAATTGAGTAATATTAATAGCAAAAAAGTTATAATGATAGTTTTAATAAGAGAATAGCTAAAAGTTGTGGTTTATTATCAAAGATCGTGACATATACAAATAAATCCATATCAAGATCATTTAAAATAATAAACAAATATTATTATTGATATTGATTAGATTATTGACTATGTTAGGCCAATGTCATTTACATTGTATGTACAGAAAAATTTACCAACAAGTTTAATGGTGTCTAATTAGTCTAATTGCAAGTCTAATGGCATTGTACTATTCTAAAGTTCTAACTATTGTACTATTCTGTTTTATTCTGTTCTTTATATACGGTAAATTATTTTTATAATCATTGTTTGTATAAATACAATATAAATAAGAATGATTGGTTTATTAAGCGTACTTGCTAAAATTTTACTATTTTCCTCGTTGTTTTAAAAACATTAAATCAAAGTTTATAAAAATTCCTGTGTTTATAATTATAATGCTTTTATAAATAATATTCTAGTTTGTAATTTTTACAATGTACAATTCAATTCATTTTAAGGTAGAATAACTTATCAAGTGATGTAGTTTTGGATCAATAGTTAATTAAATGCAGTATAACTGTAATAACAATAAATATTTATTTAAGAAAAATATCTAATTATTAGTTACTTTTATTATTATTATTTTTAGAATATAAAGTAATGTAATATAAAAAATATAAATATGATTAGTATTTGTTGTATTTAAATGTAAAAAGTAGAAAAACATGCAATTATTTATTATAAATGTATTAAGTTTAATAAATTCATATATTAAGTGCGTGTATAAACGTGGTTTAATAGGAGAAATGACATTTATATTTTCTATACTAACTTAATTAAACATTGTAATTTATTTATATACTGTATATACATAATGAAAATGCATTAATGGCCAAAACACGAGATAAAATTCATGCAATAATATAATTAAATTCCATAACTTGGTTGAAACACATCTACACATTTCTTTATATGTATTTAAAAAATAAAAATATATTTTCAATTAAATTCAATTTACATTAGTAATAATTCTGTACGAGAGTTCATAACGTCAATTAAAAATACATTTCCTATTGTCTGGTATAAAAAATTTATTTACAATTAAATTAATTTAACAGAAAATAATATCTAACATTTAACTTAATGTTAGATGTGTAGATGTTATGTGTAAATCACAAAAAACATATTAAACCATTGTAAAACAATGTCAACAGTTACCATATTGCGGCCGAGAATGGACAAAAAGCTTAAAGCATATATCACACGCAAATTCCACAGCACCTGGAGTACAGGCCTGCAAGAGTTGGACCGGTTTTGCGCCAAAACTTATATTTTCATTACTCGCAACTCTCATGACTATACCAACGGCTATATCAGTCGCCGACAATTGATTATGGTAATTATTATGCGGCTTAGTGCCATGGTATTTACCGCACGGTACGCCTGGGCGGCCATACATGACACTCACACTACTCGTACACGACTGGCCAACACTAACCACTTGTTGGGCGGCAATTCACGAGTAATATCAGCCCTGTTTAGTCTGATTGGGGCACTCGTGTCGGCCATAGCGCTCATCACCAACTATATGGAGTGGACGGGTAGTCACCATACCATCAAATTTATGAACGATATACAGTGCAATAAAGTACAGGTGCCTCTCAACGAGCATAATCAATTGAGATTCACGAAACGAGCCCACGCATTGACCAAGTATTTTGTAAATAAATTATTTTTGCCCATGTTCATTGCGTTTAGCATCACGCTACTTTTGCCTAATATAAACGCCCGTATCAATCATAGTTCGGACACTCCAATCACCTTGTGCATTTTCTGGTCACTAAACACCGTGATGTTTTCGTGGCAATTATTTAGCCTGGTATTTGCCGGCTCAGTGTACTGTTTATTGTCTATGGCTTACGTTAAATACCAATTGCAAGAGATTAACGCGGAAATAGTGGCCGGGGTAAAAGCGGGCAACACCGGCCTTGTTTTGGCCAGTATTAAACATCATTACAGCGTGGTGAAAAATATCCACTTGCTAAATAATTCATATAGAAGTGTATTACTTGTGCTGTATATGGTGTGCACACCGGCCGTGGATCTAATGATATACCTGTCCATTGGTGGTCACACCAGCAACCCGTGGGCGCGGCTATTGTTTGCCTTTCTAGCCCTGCAATTCATAGGGTGTTTGTTTAGTTTAACCCTAATGTGCGCAGAAGTGACCAACGCTGTACACTATACCCGGCCGCACATGTTTACGCTTTTATTGAGCACTACCTGTGCCTGCGCTGTGTCCGTACAGTCGCGGCTTAAAGTACTTGCTTTTATTGAACTACTTTCCGGTCCCGATATTGGGTACTATTGTTGGGATTTATTCCCGATTAATACCAACGAGTTTTATAACTATTGCTGTAAATTTGTCTACATTTATATTTTGATTGTTAATGTGTTTCAGTTAGATCATTAAATGTACATTAAATACAACTGTATAAATTTTATAATCATCATTGACAAGTATACTAATAATATAATATAAAGTTATATTGTATAGTAGTTTTGTAGTTTTAAAGCTAAAAATTTACTGCATATTAGTAATTCAGTACACGTAGTATTGATTATGATATAATAAAAATGTTTAATAGCTTATTAATAAATAGACAAATATAGATACTGTAGAGAATTGTGTGGGAATATAACATCTGGAACAACGTGGTGGGAGACAACTTGTTTTAAAGAATTAGATGAATAAGCTTAATCATAATTTAAGACTATGGTACTAGTGACATGGTGCACCAAGGTTGTTTTACGGTGGGCATGTGCTATCATTAGAATTTTAGTAGTGTATTAGTATCCTAATATAAAGAATATCCTTTACATTGTAATATCCATACCTGTATTAAATTTAATAATTGCATGTTGATTGTAATTATTTTATTCATTATGCTAAATAGTAATACAAAAATCTGTATAATTAAGCATGTACATATTTGTATAATTGTAAACTTCTAAATATTTAGTTAATAAAATAAATTACCGGTATTTTAAATGAGTTGTTTGTAAAGCATGTTATTGTAAAGCAATACATTTCTAGTGCACCAGATACTTGTTATCACGTTCATTTTTTGGGGACAATAATATGTCATGTACTGGATTTTCCCATTAAAATATCGATTAAATAAACATTGATTAAACTGATAGCATATTTGTTAAATAAGGTTTTAAACACACAATACATTTGCATTACATTAGTAACCGTCTTAACGAGTGTTTGCAATGCTTTTACACATATTTTTAACCCTATTGTCGGCGCATAGCCTGCGGGCTCTGGACGACGGTCTGGCGCTAACACCACCGATGGGTTGGCTGTCATGGGAGAGGTTTGCCTGTCAAGTGGATTGTGTGAAATACCCGCACAGTTGTATCAATGAACAGCTGTATAAGGATATGGCCGACAGGTTTGTGGCCGACGGGTACCACAAGTTGGGCTACGAATACATCAATATTGACGACTGTTGGAGCGAAAAGGAAAGGGATGCCAACCATCGACTCGTGGCCGACCGGAAACGCTTCCCGAGTGGTATCAAAGCTCTGGCCGATTATATGCACTCAAAGGGACTCAAACTCGGCATTTATGGTGATGTCGGGAACCTTACGTGCGGACAGTAAGGCTTAACATAAGTGTGTTATAACTTTACATATACTTACCATATGTTATGTATTGTCAGATACCCTGGTCAAAATAACCACACCAAAGGTGGTAAAGACTTTTACGACCTAGATGCTCAGACTATTGCCGAGTGGGGCGTCGACTCATTCAAGTCGGACGGCTGTTGGGAAGAGCCCCTGGACTTTGACGTGTTGTACCCAAAAATGGGTAAAGCTTTGAATGCAACAGGTTTGTTTTTTTAGTAAATTGTATGACCATAATGTAATTAATATCACTACAATAACGTGATGGTCAATCCATAGGCCATAAGATGTTGTTCATATGCGAGTGGCCTTTCTATCAATACGTCTATAGGTCTAAGAATCCGGACTACGAGGCCATCGCTAAGACATGCCATGTGTTCAGGAATTACAACGATGTGACCGATTCCTGGGCCAGCATTGACTCAATTATCAAATATTACGGCGATTACAACGAATTATTCAAAAAATATAACGGTAAAAATAATTGCATGTTTATCTAACAACCTTGTATATTCCTAAAAATATTAACTTTATAATTTAATTTATACTTTGAACCTAATGAAAGTTTTTATAATTGAATATTTTTAATTAATATTATTTTACTTATCATAGGACCCGGACATTGGTCAGATCCCGGTATGTTTAATAATTAATTGAGTGTTAATAATTGTGTATAAATTGTATAAATTTCATTGTACTAGATGAACTAACAATCGGCAATTGGGGCCTATCATGGGAACAGAGTCGCACCCAAATGGCCATGTGGTGCATGTGGTCGTCCCCTCTATACATGTCCACTGATTTGCGTAAACTTAAGCCCGAATTCAAAGCCATTTTGCAAAATAAGGCACTCATCGAAGTAGATCAAGACAAACATGGCATTATGGCTACCCGTGTGTTCAAAGTAAGTTAACTCATCATGTTTTACACAAAAATATATATCCTAAAGTATCTAGCTAAATTAAATCATACATTGAATTTATACACGTAGGACGACAACCGGCAGGTATGGGTAAAACCGGTTGAACCCATTGTGAACGGCGAGTGGTCCTATGCCGTGGCCTATTTGAACAAGGAGCTTTTGGGCGATGCTATACTTGTATGTACCTGTCCAACTCAATTTTTGATAATGAATGCTACCTAGGTGAAATATTTGTTGCTTATATTTATTATCTATGTAATCATAATAGATGTCCCACAAAGTGACTGAACTAATCCCTACGGCTAAGCCTGGAGTGAAATATGAAGTGCACGACCTGTTCCTCGATGAGGGCAGAGAAGTGTTGGGAACCCTTACCAGAGATGATAGTCTGGAGCTAATGATCAATACGGCCGGCGCTGTCCGTATGGTTAAGCTCTTGGTTAAGAAATAATGTTTGTTTTAATTTTAATTATAACTTTTTAAAATTATATTTGTACATTATTATTAATAATTATTTAATTATTAAAGTAAATGTAAAAAATGTTCCTTGTTCAATTAATAATAGTGATGATTTAATTATCCTATGATACTATATACTATGATAACAAATTGCTATACAGTATTAAGATTTTAAATTTACATTTAATTAATTTTATAACTTTTAAATACAGTAAAACTTTTTAAGTGTATATCGTTTGCCGCCAAAGAGTTTGAATGGATTTGCATTGAATGGATGTTTGCATTCATTCATACATTAATAACGTTTGGGTTTTGGAGTTATTTTTGGTGACAGTTATAGAGAGTAAGC